TGGAGCGACGTCTCAGCGATGAGTTCGACCACTAAAAGCTATTGGGCCCAGTGGGATAGCTTGCTGCTTCAGGATGGAGTTCTGTGTCGTAAATGGGAAAATGTTCGGGGAGACAGCTGTCATTTGCAAATGGTTGTCCCTAAAGCTAAAGTACCGGATGTTCTACAGCTGTACCATAATGATTGTTCAGGAGGCCATCTGGGAGTTAAACGAAATCTACTGAAGATCCGAGAACGGTTTTATTGGGTCCACTGTCGAAACGATGTCGAGGACTGGTGTCGCAAATGTACAAGTTGTGCGGCTATAAAGGGACCTCAGACTCGTAGTAGAGGTGCATTGAAGTTGTACAATGTTGGTGCACCATGGGAGAGAATAGCCATTGACGTGGCGGGGCCGTTTCCGGAGAGTGAAAGGGGTAACAAGTATTTCATGGTTGTGATGGATTACTTCACAAAGTGGCCAGAAGTTTTCGCCATTCCAAATCAAGAAGCTTCAACAGTTGCAGATAAACTAGTTCATGAAGTCTTCTGTCGTTTTGGAGTACCTTTAGAGATTCACAGCGATCAAGGAAGGAATTTTGAGTCTCAAATATTCCAGGAAACTTGCCGAGTTATGGGTACTCATAAAACAAGAACGACTTCTTATCACCCGCAATCTGATGGAATGGTAGAACGATTTAATCAGACATTAGAGAGGTACGTAGCAAAAGTTGTAGACCATCGGCAACGAGATTGGGACAAGCACATACAACCGTTTTTGTTGTCATATCGAAGCGCTGTTCACGAAAGTACAGCAGTGACACCAGCTTTCGCAAACTTTGGAAGCTCTTCAAAGTTACGGCTGCCTGCAGGCCTGATCACTGGGATACCACCTGATACCCCACGCAGTATAACCGATTAAGCAAATGACTTCCGGAACAAAATGAATGACATTTATGAGCACGTCAGACAATCGGGCCAGCAAATGTCTGAGAAGATGAAAACCCGGTACGACCGCGAAATGAACAATAAAGGCTTCGACGAAGGTTCACTAGTGTGGTTGCACAATCCAGTCCGCAGCAAAGGGAAATCTCCTAAGCTTCAAGCTAAATGGGACGGCCCGTACCGGATTGTAACCAGGATCAACGATGTAACCTACCGGATACAGAAAGGCGCAAGAGGGACTCCTAAGATCGTCCATGTGGATCGCCTGGCGCGTTATTATGGGGCCAATAATGCTCGGGACGAGCATGTCTTAGGAGGGGGCAGTGTTACACGCCTAAGTCGACGGCACTAGCGCCATCTACTGTCGGGTAACAGAGCGAAGAGAGAGCTTTCCAGAAAATGACATTACTAATCTTTCAACCGACAGCGCCATCTAGTATCGAATTGAAGAACTAAGCTTTTTGGAAGCCCCAAACTCAAACTTTCTGCGCTTCGTCGGTTGGCGCGCGTATTTACTCGAATATTCTGAATGTTTTTGTGGAAGAGCCCTATATAAAGGCGCTGCAATACGCGATCGGGGAAGTATTGAATTTGGCGAGACAAGCGAAGCTTCGGAGCGGAATAAAGTGAATCAGTGTGATTAATTGTTAGTGTTTTAAGTTGGTGTAAATAAAATTAAAGTGTTAATTTAGGTAATTCTATCGGCAATTTTTATTGTCACGAACCTCAAGCTCGTAATAATATGAATGACAAGCTCGTGGAAACTGTCCATGCGGTCGGAGCTAAGTTCTGCAAGACCCGCCGCAGAAGAACACAAAAACTCTCCGATCACACTCTTAATCTCATGGCTGTTAAACGGGAGATGAGGCTGCAATCATCAACAGATTTGCGCATACAGGCAACTGAACAGACAGATCTCTAAATGCATGCGGCGAGACTTACGCAAATTTAATACTGCTCTTATTAAAGAAGCGATCGAGCGGAACCAGGGCTCCAAAGTCTTTGCCAGAGATCTCTCTACCGGAAAGAGCCAACCGTCAAAGCTGAAGACTGAGTGTGGCAGCATTGTTTCCGGGACACCTGAGATTTTGAGTGAGATTGAGAGGTTCTATGGGCAGCTGTACACATCATCGTTGGAGCCACACGCAAGTGTGAGTAACGATCCAAGAGCAAGTCTTACCCGACACTATTCCGATGATATCCCGGACGTCAGTCTAAGCGAGATTAGAATGGCTCTCCAGCACCTTAAAAACGGCAGGGCCCCAGGCGAGGATGGAATTACAGCGGAGCTTTTGAAAGCGGGTGGAACACCGGTACTTGAAGTCCTTCAGAAGCTCTTCAATTCCGTCCTCCATGGTGGCACTACACCCGGAGGCGTGGAGCAGAAGTGCGGTGGTCTTGTTCGTTAAGAAAGGCGACAACGCTCTCTTGAAGAACTACAGACCGATTTCCCTTCTGAGCCGCGTCTACGTGCTGTTTTCGAGAGTCATTACGAATCGTCTCGCACGCAGACTCGACGACTTCCAGCCTTCCGAACAAGCCGGTTTCCGAAAAGGCTTTAGTACCATAGACCACATACATACCCTGCGGCAGATTGTACAGAAGACCGAAGAGTACAATCTGCCACTTTGCCTGGCGTATGTGGACCATGAGGAAGCCTTTGATTCCTTCGAAATTTGGGTGGTTCTACAGTCACTTCAGCGGTGCCAAGTTGACTGTCGGTATATCGAAGTGCTGAAGTGTTTGTACAGTAGAGCTACGATGGCTATCCGAGTACAGAACCAGAGTTCGAAACCTATCCAACTGCAGAGACGTGTACAGGGTGAAGTTATATCCCCGTTGGAAGACGTTTTCAAGCTACTGGACTGGAAAGGATACGGTACTAACATCAATGGCGAGTACATCACTCACCTTCGATTTGCTGACGATATAATCACTATGGCAGAATAGCCGGAGGACTTAAGCACTATGCTCAATGACCTCAATAGTGTCTCCCAACGGATAGGTCTTAAGACGAACATGGACAAAACAAAGATCATGTTTAATGTCCATGTCACACCTATGCCGGTAGTTGTTGGGAGCACTATGCTCGAAGTTGTTGACGAGTACGTTTACCTGGGACAAATAGTCCGACTAGGTAAGTCCAACTTCGACCGAGAGGTCAATCGTTGGATTCAACTCGGCTGGGCAGCGTTCGGGAAATTACGACAAATCTTCTCGTCAAGGTATACCTCAATCTCTGAAAACTAAAGTGTACAACGCTCAACGCTTGAGCGACGCTCAAGTCGCTCAGCGAGCTATGGAGAGGGCTATGCTCGGAGTTTCTCTGCGTGATAGACTCAGAAATGAGGATATCCACAGTAAAACCAGATACCGATACCGATATAGCCCAACGGGTTAGTAAGCTGAAGTGGCAATGGGCCGGCCATATAGCTCGAAGAACCGATAACCGATGTGGAAGAAAGGTTCTCGAGTGGCAGCCTCGTACCGGTAGGCGTTGTGTAGGGCGACCCCCACTAGATGGAGTGACGACCTGGTAAGACATGCAGGAAGTCGATGGATGCAGGTGGCTCAGGACCGTGCTTTGTGGCATTGCTTGGGGGAGGCCTACGTTCAGTAGTGAACTTGTGAAGGGCTGTGATGATGATGATGATGATGATAGGGCACTAAATAAAGGTAATAGCGAATGCATTGTCCGAGATTGCCACGTGCCACATCAGCCATCTTGTTTGGTTACAGAGAACCACGCATACAGTCCACAACCAAATTGATCTTGCATAACAAATTTTGGCCCGACCCTGGAGTCTAACCGAAAACCCTATCGCTCCACCATTTTCTGGCCCTTCCTTCCTGATATAAATTTAGTCAGTAGCTCAACCATTTTCTGGTTCTTCAACCTGGATTCGAAGGGATAGCCTGTGGCTGCACCAAATGGTAAATGTCCATTGTAGTAAAAAGTTTCTTTTACTACTTAAACTTATTTTAACACTTAAACTTTTTTATATAATCTAATAGAAACTATATAATCATAACATATACAATCTTTTAATATATCGCTATCAATACACTGTTCATTTCAAAATTAAAATATTGGCAAAATGTTTGCTCAAGCAATTCAATCAATGCGATACATTTTTTGGAGGTATGTGTATGTATTGAATTAATCATCTCAAAAAAATCTTTACGTACACAATCACGAGTATAAATGTTTTGTATATGCCTACAAACGATAACTAAGTATTTTGAACCGACAATAACTGAGATTAAGCAAACAGTAATAATAATATTAAAATCTAAATCTATGAAATAATTTGAGAATTCATGGCTTCTCGTAATAGAATTCTGCTAATATATTATAATTTTAATTTAATCAATTAATAGGTCAATTAATTGTGCAAACCTCCGTTATATTATATAAATGTAATTTATAAAATTGCAAAAAATATAGCACAGAATTAACATTTTCAATTTCTTCCGAAATAATAATTACTTATGTATATTTGTATCTATTTTTTAAAATGGCAATCTAAAACAACGTGAAGGAAAGAAACTACGATATCCTTTTCTCGCTTCATTTCCACTTGCTCAACCCACACATAGACAAAATTATGATTGTGTGCCAATTTCTCGGATTTCATACAAAGTTCACCTTGGTATATTATATTCTAACTTTAATTAAAATTAAAAAAGATGTAAACTCATTAAAGCCAATTAAATTGTTTTATTTTTTTATTTTAATTAAAACTGTCAATCAGAAATTATCATAAGTATATTTTGAATTCCTTAGTTAATATTTCATTTTGAACCTTAGAGTTATTTTAATTATTGACTACAGATGACTGACTGCCTTCTTTCTTCTTCTTTTCTTATTTACGACGGTTTCAAATGTCGCCGCGAAGACGTTTATTGAGTAGAATATCTCATTAGACACAAACTGACTGCCTTTTAGCAAAAATAATGTCATTTTCAAATAACACTTCAGGATAATTTTAATAAGTTGAGACATGTGTATGAATCAACCTCTGTGGTACTATGGTAGAGTGAGGAGAAAGATTTATCACACTATAAAGTTACAACTTAAAGTTCATCTTTTCTCTCAATTTTGACAAGTTCAACATGGAATGTGAGAGTTGCTGATTTTGGTATCTTTGGTGGAGCTCCAGCTTCTCCATAGGCTAATTCCGATGGAATGACTAGTTTTCTTTGTTCACCTTCACACATACCAATCAGACCCTGATCCCAACCTTTAATAACTTGACCAGAACCAAGTGTGAAAGTTAATGGATTTCCTCTTGGTATTGAACTATCAAATTCTGTTCCATCTTCTAAGGTACCCTGAAAGATACATAACACATAAAATATTATTATCATCCATATTATGTTGCTGTGTGTAACTTATAATCTATTATATTTAGTAAGGCAATTATTATTTGCATGGTGACAAATAGGCACCGAACATCAGCTGATAATATGCAGTTTTTTTTAATAGGATAGGGTGACAAACGAGCACACAGTCCACCTGATGGTACATGGTTGTGATGTAATGCAGATGCATTGTCACCCGTGAGGACTAAGATGGAATGCCTCTTTTCCAGTAAAAGAGGTCTCCGGTTCTCTACACTCACCATACGAAACACAGTAGCATTAAGCTACTATTTCACGCTGGTATTTTGTGAGAGTGTGGTCCTTCCCCGGTCAAGCCGACCCATTCGTGTTACAACTATACTACTAATATAACTGCAGCATGGTTCTACCACGTTTAAAAAAAGTTATCATTACTGTGGCCTATATACAATGGTTCATAATCACTTAAGTATCAACACAGTAATGTAGGCTATGAAAAACAGTATACTTATTTAACTTCATTATTAACTTCCCAGTGGGAAATTATTGTAATAGGTCCAATTTTGCAAATAGGAAATTTTAACATATCTCCACATTTCAATGTATTTAGTCGAATAGTATGGTTTTAAGAGGATGTCAACATGTCCGTGTGTGCACATGTACGTATGTAAGTATGTATGTTTGGATACAATTTTCGCATCATGTATCTCGAGAACAAAGAGTGATATTGACATGGGACCGCATAATTATGTAACTTAGACCTCATTAAATTTTGAGCAAAATCGGTCGTCGTTTTTTGTGCCGAATGAAAAATTGTATAAAATATTAAAACATATATTTTTTTATTCTTTCCACTGGAAGGTTAGTCGTGTGCACCTTTCGGGTCGCACCTAGACCGCTTTTTTACTTTAGTAATAATTATAAATTTCAAAATATTAATACCATACTACAGACAGATTTAAATAGATAAAACAAGAACCACAATTCATATGAAAATTAAGCATGCAAAATTTTTTCTATCTAATAAGTCTAGTCTCTACATTTATCGATTAGAAGGTGCCGCGCACCGCATACAATTTTAGTTCTTGTAGTTAAATCCCAATTTGTGTGGATTAATTTATGTATTAAATTTGTACTTTGTTCAATGTTGAGAACCCATCTTTTTTTCCAATATATCAACCAAATTTTCTATTTATATTGATTTTGTAGCAAAATAAAAAAATACATTTAAGAATATTTCAATACTTTTCTTTTAGCCATTCAGGTTATCATTCCACGATTTCCGAAAACCATTAGAATCAAGAATATCTCATTTATTGCATAGAGTGAACTCCACTAGTCCCTAAATTTGACAAAAAAATGATAAAAGTCACACTACCAAAACATTTTTTCCTTTACTCAACTATACCCAGCTGTGGTGTTTATGCAGTTTCTAAGGGCACAATTCGGAAATCTTCGCCTCTAAGCTTAGATCTTCGGACATGGATTGCAGCTTAAATAATATACTTATCGGACTGAAGCGTAGCAACAGCAAGTAATAGCTGTTTTTAACCTAGTCTGGACATGTTAAGGACAAAGACCTTTATTTGATTATATTTGATTTCAATATAATAATAAATCAACAAAGCATTCATTAACTGCTCTAATTATTATTTTTACAGATACATTTTTATTTTTCTTCATTCTTTTGAAATGATTCACTTAGCCACCCACTTACTATAAAATGCCTGTAATGTTATACTACTGGACTGGTTTACTCGTTATCTTCCTGTAGGAGTCACCGCTTAGACATGGTAGGGCTAAGCAACTGGGGCAAGGTGAACTCACAACGTGACTGCCTCAAGGTGGCCATTTCAATCAGGGAAATATAATTAAAATTTCTTTAATTTGTTCCATGAAATTGTGTTCAACATGCTTTATTTTATTTAAGTAGGTATGTCATAAGCAGGTAAGTATGCATTTGTAACTAGCTATAATGAATTAAATTTTATTCATACATAAACAATATCAGATACTACTTTATGATGGTATAATAAGAGAATAATATTAAGGGGGGAATATAACCTCAAATGGCTTAGCAAGATCCTCCATTATACCGAAAATATTGCAGCATTAATTTTGAAATAAATATAAGGTAAAGTTGAGGATTAACATTAAGTACTATGTTAGACGAAAACATGATTCCGTAAAATTTTCTCGATAGAAAAATTATACAAAGTTACCTCTGAACAATAAACCGCTGTTATTCATAAAATACTTTAAATAAGATCATGAAAGAGCCGTGGTAGCTCAGATGGTTAGCGCTCACTGTAAATTTAACAGAACGCGAGCAACCCGGGTTCGATCCCCGCCGGCACCAATGAAATTGTTAATGCAATTTTAAGTGCTGATATACCACGTGCTCGGCAGTGAAGGAAAACATTGTGAGGAAACCTGCATGTCTGAGGAATAAGAAAATAAATATTTCGAAGACATGTGAAGTTCTTCTTTAAGTGCAATAATTGGACTTATTGCGGTAATCTATAGAAATCACAAAATATTATAGCTAACCATGCCACAACTTAAGTTATTTCGTTCATGATATGCAACTTACAAATAGTATTATTATATATTGCAGTTATGCTTAACAAAAGAACCGAATCTACCGTTAATAAAAAAGACGTCTAAGAAGAAAATATAGAGCTCATTTTCCTAATCTTTTCCTTTCGAAATATCTAAATAGCTGCTTATATTGATTGTCGTGCATTATATAAATTGAGCTTAAGAAAAGAGTTATTTTTGTTTGGACATGAATAACCATTTTTATGTTTGTCTCTCTCAAAAATAACGCCATATTAATGGATCCTACCCAGGCAAAGCCGGGGCGGGTATTTTGTAACTCTATCTCACGCGAGTCCCCCGAGTGCTTGTATATTTATAAATAAAGTTGGCACGACGCAGAAGAAATACGGATGGAGTCTGGTCTTGGACTCCTAAAATGCGGACAAAATCTAATTTATACAACTAAACACTGTAGCCATATGAGCGTAACTAACTAACTAAACCTTAACGTAAATCGTAATACATTACCGTATAATGCATATGCAGTAAATCACCCTTTCGACTTTTGATTGGACATTCTGTAGGTCTCTTTTTAACTCCAATTTGTAATTTCTTTGGCGTTGAGCTACCGATTACAACATGCGAGATAATACTCATAAAAATTAACACAAACAATAATATTTTACAAACAGTAATAAATACAGTTTTCATTTTAATTTTATGTTGTTAGACCTGTAACTCTGTATAAGTACGATGTACTTGTATAAAATACAAACGTCAGTTTCTGTGACAGCTGTCAGTAAAAATCACGCCTATGAAGTCATGAACAAGGAACATACTACTCTCTAACGAGAGCCTAAGAACTATCTTATAAGGTAATAGTAATTTTGTAACGGAAATTGTTTTAATGGCTTACGGTACTTTTTTAATATGGCAACCTACCATTACTGCCAACCTCCAGTCAGTAAAAATACTTGTAACTTGTAATGAAACGACGGACAATCAAAAGAGAAACTACGATTCTGGTTAAAAACCGAAATCATAATATTAAGAACCATAGAATACTATAATAATGAATCATGGAGTGACGTACTGAAGTTTATTAAATACATGATGGATGTTATATTGAATTAAAATAATACTAAACACAATACCACATTTAAAATAATAAATAACACTAAACAAAGACGATTGATTGCTAAGTAATGAATAAAATTTTATAACTTAATATTATTTAAATCTAAAAATTCCATATGACAATTGAAAACATTTTTACTTTTTTTAGAAAAAAATAAAAGAGAACGAATTTCTGTAGATAGAGGAATTTTAAGATTTACCAAAGTGTTAAAATATAATGAAGTATGATCATATAAAGGACACGAGAATAAAATATGGTTGAGGTCACCAATATCCAATCCACATTTACATATTGAAGATTTTTTAATATGAAGCCTAGCAAGGTGAACCGATTTACAGCAGTGATCTAAGCGCATTCTACATAACATAGTAGGTTTCTTATTTAAGGGTAATTTATAAAACCAAGGCTTAGTAGGAATGATGGGTTGAATTTTGGCATAGTAACAGCCTTTTGTCGTTTTCGTTTTGTTCCAATGTTTTGACCATCTACTAGGCTGCACTAAAAGTATCGGGAATGGAATATTTCCACTGTTCCTGTCATATTAAAATCTTTTTTAATTGAAAACTCATTTAGTTTTAAAAATCGAATACCATTTATTTATTTAAAAAAAGATTCTCGGTCTTGTCAAAAGGTTTTGTCAAACTTGTTGAGTCGTTGAGAAAATGGAATTGACTCGAGAAAATTCAAGAGCGATGATTTATTATGACTTACGAAGTGATTTAACACAAAAACAGTGTGTTGACCGGATGATTTCTGCATTTGGTGATGAAGCCCCACCCAAAACCACAATTTGTCGCTGGTTTGCTGAATTTCAACGTGGACGTGTCAAGCTCAGTGATGATCCCCGTCAAGGTCGTCCAAAAACTGCAGTCATCCAAGAAAACGTTGATGCTGTGCGTATGCTGATTGAGGAAGATCGACATGTGACATACCGCGAAATTCAGGCAATTTTAGACATTGGCATGAGTCAAATACTAATAATCTTGCATGAATAATTACATGTAAAAAAGTTGTTTTCCCGATGGATACCGCATTCGCTCTGTGAAGAGCAAAAAGCGGCTCGCATTACTTGGTGCGTCAGAACTCTCGAAAGATTCCACGCAGGATCCACAAATGCTGTATACAACATCGTATCAGATGACGAATCCTGGATATATGCGTACGAACCCGAAACAAAAAAACCAGTCACGAGTGTGGGTGTTCGAAAATGAGTTAAAGCCAACAAAAATTGTTCGTTCACGGAGTGTTGCAAAAAAAATGGTGGCCACGTTTGTCTCCAAAACCGGCCATGTTACGACTATTCCTCTTGAGGGACAAAGAACGGTTAATGCAGAACGGTATGCTAGCATTTGTTAGCCACAGGTCATTTCTGAACTCCGTAAAGAGAACTGCAACCGCCGCATCATCCTCCATCACGACAATGCGAGTTCTCACACCGCACTCAGAACAAAAGAGTTTTTCGAGCAAGAAAACATAGAATTATTAAACCATCCGCCGTACAGCCCCGACCTAAGCCCTAATGATTTCTATACTTTCCCTAAAATAAAGAATAAATTGCGTGGACAGAGATTTTCATCACCTGAAGAAGCTGTGGACGCCTACAAAACGGCCATTTTGGAGACCCCAACTTCCGAATGGAATGGTTGCTTCAATGATGGGTTCCATCGTATGGAAAAATGTGTCAAATTTTGCGGAGAATACTTCGAAAAGCAATAAATGGATTTTTAAATAGTAATGTTGTGTCACTTCCTTGATTCCCGAAATTTTCAGTGCCGCCCTCGTATCTCTATATAATAATTTCATAGTCCTTATAAGGTCATAGCAATAATTTTTAAATAAGAAAGTATAGAAAGTACAGACTATAGCTTGTTTAGCAAGTTTGTCAGAATATTCATTACCAGATATGCCAATATGACTCGAAGTCTAAACAAGAGAAATGTTGGTTTTTTGAAATTGGTATAAGAAAAGAAGTTTCTTAATTTCAAATATCAAAGGATTGCGGGAAATGTTATAGAAAGGATTGCATAACAATGCTTGTAAAGAACTAAGAGAATCTGAAAATATCACGCTTGATTTTAATTGATGGCAATATTTTATTGATTGTAAAATGGGGCGTAAAATAAAGTTATAACATTTAAAAAAATGTTCGTTTATTAATTTTTTATCTCACTTAAAGTTTTTATATAGTTTTCTGACTTTAAATGTTATCATTGTGAATAACATTCATCCCCTTCGTGGTTATTTTTTTACAAACCACTCAGAATTAGGAGCAAGGTCTCAAAGCGGGCTCAGTCGACCGGACTTTCTTCGACTGCGCTACGTTGAATGGCGTGGGCCTTCTCTCTTTCAACTCTCTCCATAGATCAGGTTATTAGTCAAAAAATACTAAAACATAACCTCAAAATGAGATTTTTTAAAATTTTTTAATAAAAACTGAGCACGTTCCGCATGGGGGGAAATGGGGGACGACTCTACAACTCCCCCTCTAAACCAACCCCCTAATTAATGCGACATAATTTCAAACCCTACCCGAAGTAGATGATTAGTAAAGTAAAAAATTTATAGAGTAGAGAATTAGGAGAATAGACGAAATTGTGCTGGATTATCTTATGTCACGTCACGGAAACAAATTCTTGTTACAATTTCTCTAGTATTAGTGGAGTAGAAGATTAGTAGAGTAGGGATTTAGTAAGCACTCCCGAAAACGAAGACAGACGATAGTATTAAGGATACCTTTGATGATGAGACAAAAATAAAATGGATCCCGATGAAAAAAAAATCATTATTTTACAACTTTTAATAAGCTTTATTCACGTTCTATCATGTAGGTACAACTAAATGAAACGATAATTTCATAAAAAAATCATGAAAATACCTAAATATAAAACAACACTCAAGTCAACAATGCTCAAGTATTGAGTGAATCAGTAGCAGATGCTATTGAATTTTGTTTTAAAGAACTCGAACTAGATAATTTTTACTATGTCTGATGATGAAGTTTTTGTGTCAGCAAGTGATATGAGCTCGTCTTTTCACTCCGATGATGATGATTATAACTTTCAGGTCGCCCTAAGGCAACAAATTTCTGATACATTTATTAACTTTTTTCACTCCAATTTTAATATTTGTCATATTAATGCGCAAAGTATTCCATATCATTATACTGAATTATTGGCTACTTTCTCAGCTGATCTGTCCATGCTATACTAGTGTCCGAGACCTGGTTAAAACCTAATCTATGTTCTACATCATATGGTCTACCAGGCTTTGTACTGGTACGACAGGACCGAATTTTAAGGCATGGAGGTGGAGTCGCTATTTACCTACGTAGTGATATAACCTTCAAAGTAATATCCACTTTTGATCAACATGTTAATGCCATGGAGTATCTGTTTCTTGAAATTAATATAAAGGGGGGCCAAAGCTATTCTTGGAGTCGTTTACTCTCCTCCCTCTATTAATTATTTCTCCACTTTGGAATCTATCCTAGATAACATCTGCTCTGAGTACGCACATCAAGTTATTATGGGTGATTTCAACACAGACCTGTTAAAAAACTCTATTTCTCAAAAGTTACGATCCATCATAAACTCGGTCAACCTCTCCATTCTCCCCCTTAAAGCTACTCACTCTAATTTTTCTACCGCGGATTCTTGGATCGATTTAATTACTACATCTTCTAAAAAAGTTGCGACTTATGGTCAGTTCCCAGCTCCTGATTTTTAGAACCTTAACTTGTTATTTCTCTCATATAAATTAAAACCACCTAAACATATCCCTCATACAATAAAGTTACGTAGCTATGCTCGATTCAATAGAGATAGCTTAATTAATGATGTGTCCGCCATTGATTGGTCTCCAGTGTTAAATACTGACTCAATTAATGATATGATTATGGAGTTTAATTCTAAATTATTGAATATTTTCAATACACATGCGCCAGAACGCGAGGTTAAAATCAAACGTCCATCAGTACCGTGGATCACTAGCGACGTACGCCTGGCAATGAACAGACGCAACAGAGCTTTTGTCACATATAAATCTTGCCGTACTATACAGAACTGGGAGGCCTTCAAAAAGGTTAGGAATCGCTGCAATCAGGTGGTGACGTCTGCTAAACGCCGATATTTTCATGACTTCCTAATTAATTCTTCGCAATCGGAGACATGGAAGTTCATTCACTCTCATGGTCTCAGTATAACTAAAAAACAATTAATCTCAGATATTTTCTCATTAAATGATCTCAATGCTCACTTTTCTACAGCGGCTTGTCTCCCATCTCACATTAAAATGAAAACTATTTCGGATATTACTTCCATGTCATCCCCACATACTGATTCTTTCTCTTTTTCTGCTGTCACTGAGAAGGATATTTTAAAAGTATCCGTAGTTTACAAAAACTTAAGTCAAAGGCAGTAGGTCGTGACAACATAGGAAGAACCATGATATCATATGTTTCAGATCATATTGTACCAATTTTAACCTCCATTATAAACCGCTCATTGCTTACTGGGAAGTT